ACATGTATGTTACTTGAAATAAAATAAACGTTAACTGAAATAAATTTTTTAAAATATATATATATATATATATATATAAAAATATGAAATTGAATTAAAAAATAATAAACAAAAACACACAACAAAATTACTATACTAAAATAAACTTATACTAATACTAAATACTACTAATACTAAAATAAAAACAAAAAATTCAAAAATAAAAACTATTTTAAAATATAAAAAAAAAACTATAATAGTACTTCAGTAACTCTAAAATAACAGCTCCAGTATACGGTACATCAGGTGAGAAATCCCTTGTGATAAACAGTGGTGTTGTAGGCAATTTATAAACATTGAAATGGTCTTTAATGATTCTACATTGTAACCAGGCCTCACTGTTGCATATGTTTATGTGTGTTAGGCGTCAACTCTTACGAAGCTCTTGGAGAGAGAGCCTTCAGCAGACCTGGCAAGGTTGGTTAATATCGCAGATCTAATACCTAGCTGACATAAATGTTTTTTTTTTTAATCTGAATGAGGAATGATGTACTTCAATGTTTCATTTTGTTATATGAATAAATAACTGTGTCTTTATCTATGTACTCATCATAACTGAATTCACCACAGAAGTAAAATGTGCTTTGTTACTCCTATAAAACATGTTTTCCACTTTTTTTTTTTGCAGATTCTGGTGGCCTGTACTATTCTCATTCAGAACATTGGAGGTGCGGTTTTCTCTTTCACTTGTATTTAACTGTTTATATGGTTAAAGTCATACTACTTAACCTTTGAACTCTGAACTCAGAATTACTACATGGGATTCCCCGATGAAGAGTTTTTCCTTTCTCTTTCTCTTTTGCTCTCTCTCAGTTTGAACATGTTTTAATGGGAGGATATAGGCTATTACTTTTATTTTGTATGGCTAAATAAGTTAGCATAGCAGGTTAGTCAGCGAACAACAGCTATACTTAAGAATGTAAGAATGTTGTGAAGTGAAAAATAACAAGAAAATTTAAAATTTGTTCTCTTTCTGTCTTTCTCTGAACAGTGCTCACTACTCACTGTGAACTGTAGTGAGTATTCTGTGTGTTATCTGGTGTTTAGTAGCAGTAAAACAGAATTTTGTTTATCATTAATCTACCAAAGCAACTTAACATAAAGTCCATCTCACTTTCACACTGTCTTTAGAATGGCAGCAACCGTGTGTTTGTATGAGTGTAAGTGTTTGGCTGCAGTCAGGTTTGCAACCCGGATACAAGCCATCAACCTGTTAATCATCTGTGTGGCTGTTAGCATGTTAGTGTTAGTTTAAAATATGTTGACCTCAGCACTGTGCTGTTTTTAAATGGACTATGTGTCTCTGTCTGTGCATGGTTTAGTTTGGTTTTCTGAGTAGATTGATGTACATGTTTGCATCATGGGGTGTTATAGTGTGTGTATGAGGTGTTGCATAGCTGGTATGTATAATGTGCTGTTGTTCTCTTTCTCTAGCCATGTCCACCTACTTGTTCATCTTGAAGTCTGAAATGCCTGCTGCCGTCACTGGCTTCATGAGCACAGAGACTTCTGGGTAAATAAATATATACCACATCCTCACACTTCATTCTGATAATGTAATGCAAGTTTCCAGTGTCACACAAAAATTTTCTGTTCTCACTGAAATTGAAATTCATCACAAAGCAACTATATTAGCCGATCAGAACATATTTAATGTTAAAAATCAGTATATCAAAAAGTAGAAACCGAGCAACCAACAAAATGTCAGTGTCAGTTGGGAGTAAAAAAAAATCTGACTAAAATGGAAGATACAATACCATTTAAAAGTTTAGGGTCAGTAAGATATTTTTAAATACTTTTATTCAGCAAGGGTGCATTAAATTGATTAAAAGTGACTGTACACATAATTATAATATTGCAAAAGATTTCTATTTCAAACAAATGCTAAAATATTGAGCAGCACAACATTGATAATAATAAAAAATATAGTCTTGAGCAGCAAATCAGAATATTAGAATGATTTCTGAAGGATCATGTGACACTGAAGACTGGAGAAATGGCCGTTAAAAAATTCAGCTTTGCCATCACAGAAATAAATTACATTTTAAAATATATTCAAATAGAAATTAATATATTATTATATATTATTCAAATAGAAATTAATATATATATACTATTTCACAATATTACTGTTTTGCTGTATTTTTAATCAAGTAAATTCACAAGGGATTTAAAAATCTTACCACCCCCAAAATTGAACGGTAGTACATATGTTTTATCACAACAAATATGATTTACATACCACAAAAACTTTGAAAAGTTACATCTGAATTCATAAGTCAAATAGAAACATCATTCAGGAAGAGAGTTAGAAAGGGACACTTTCACACCAGGTGAGTGACTGGCAGAAAAACACTCTTTCTCTCTTCTCTGTCTTTAAGTGAGTTTCTGAAACGGAGAAAAGAGCAAGTATTCCAGAGTAAAGAATGTAACGGTCATTATTTTATTAGACGCTGTGGTTCGACTGTGCCCCGTCCCCACACAGCTGGTTTGCATTACAGGTCCGTTCACGTAAATCTCACACATATGTTCTGCCCAACGAGAGTCGTGCCTGCCCAAGATCCCCTTTACCAGCACAATTACTGTGACCAGACCCAGACACACACAAACATCACTACTCCATCTCTCTGGGAGGAGAAAGAAATCACAAAGCGGCCTCAGTATAAACGCTTGAATCTTTAGTCATTTACTGTAAAATAACATTTTTCTTTCAGTGGAGTAATTTATCTTCATTTTTCTCTCCCTGTTGTTAAGAGAGAACCACAGGAGATCAACGCGAGATCTCTCACACACACCAACCTGTTCAAGATTCAGTCTCCCAGTTCAAAGAACACGCATACACATTCACATTTTTCCATATTTTTGTGGAAACCATGATAAATTTTTTTCAGGATTCTTTAATAAATGGAAACAGAACAGCATTTATTTGAAATAGAAATTTTTGGAACAATGTAAATATAAATAATATAAAAAGTATTAATATCTTTAAAAATCGTACTGATCCCAAACTTTTGCACGGTACCAAACAACAGAGGGAGATAATAGAGAAAAAAAGAATAAATAGAATAAAATGCAATGAAAAGGGTATTATAATTTATTTATCATTATAATTAATAATTTATAATTAAATTATAATTTCAAATTGTGCTTTTTTTCCCTTTACATTTGTGCTTTTTATATTATAAAAACAATAACAGAAATTAAACCCTTAACAAGACGTTTGTCTACACTGAGTTAAATATACTACTGAATATGATGGTCAGATCAGTCTCAGTTCTCTCTTTAATTTTATTTTATTTTATTTTTGCTCTCTCTTATTAATGTAAGAAAGTGAGCCCTGATTCAGGAGTACTTGGACAGTGAGACAGAATCTGAGGAGGAATTTCTGGTATTAGATGTGGGGATTTCCAGCATTGCAATGTTTGAAGGGTTGATTTGGGAATCAGATAAGTGTTTAGTGATTAACGCATCCATGGGTTTAAAACACTCAAGTATGGGGTCAGTAAGATTTTTTTTTTTTTAAAGAAATTTTTTATTTTATCTAGCAAGGGTGCATTAAATTGATCAAAAGTGACAGTAAAGATATTTTTACAAAATATTTCTATTTCAAATAAATGCTGTTGTTTTAATAAAAAAAATCCTGGTCTAAATAATCTTTCACATTTTTGGCAAAAATAGTTTTAAAACACTGTTTTTAATATTGATAAGAAATGTTTCTTAAGCAGCAAATCAGAATATTAGAATGATTTCTGAAGGATCATGTGACACCGAAGACCGTAGTAATGGCTGCTGAAAATTCAGCTTTACCATCACAGGAATAAATATATTAAAAAGTAAATATATTAAATATATTAAAATAAATATTTAAACAGTTATTTTATTAAACAGTTATTTTAAATTATAATAATATATCATAATATTACTGTTTTTACTTTGTTTTTGATCAAATAAATGTAGCCTTTGTGAGCATAGGAGACTAAAACATAAAAAAAAAAAAATCTTACTGACCCCAAAACTTTGAAAGGTGTGTACATCCTTCACTATGTGCCATTTTGCCATGCATTTTATTTTCTGTCCTTCATAGAAAGTGGTTTGAGGATGGTGTTGCACTATTGATTTTAGTGACTCTAATTGTAGTGTTGCCACTGGCTCTACTTCCTAAGATTGGTGAGTGTCATCAGAGTTTTTTTTTTTTTAATTATTATTCTGTACATGTGCGAGAGAGTGTGTATCACTGGTTTCTATCTCCTCCTCAGGTTTCTTGGGATACACCAGCAGCCTTGCATTCTTCTTCATGCTGTTCTTTACCGTAGTGGTGAGTTGTTTTCTCTATCTCTCTCTCTCTCTCTCTCTCTCTCTCTCTCTGTATCTTTCCCATGTTGATGTTTTAATCTCTCTCACAGGTGGTGGTGAAAAAATGGTCCATTCCCTGCCCGCTGCCAATTAACTCTACTGTGAGCCTGGTAAAGACCACACACACACCCACACCCACACACTGACTTTAGCTGGAAAAATTACTCTTTGTTGTTGTCGTCTTGCATTATTGACAAACTATTTTCCTGTTTGACATTGTAAAGCTGCTTTGACACAATCAGTTGAGTATAAAACACTATACAAATAAAGGTGACTTGACTTGACCCTCCCAGCCAAACCACTTGCCTAAACACCCCAGATTAATACCCAAAACACAATTCGGGCAGCTCCAGAACAATAGACTATTTAGTTAAATTTATTTAAATTGACCCATTCAGGACCTCAACCTAACTTAATTTTCATCACAGAAGATTTTTTTTAACTCTCAGATAGTGATGACTTGAACTCCTTTAGGACTCTTTACTTTTCCGTTGATTTGTATGAAAAGATTTTAATGAACTGAGACCAGATTCAGTTTTAGGTTTTTTTTTTTAATTAAAGATAATCTTTAAAACCTAATAGAAATTTTAGTTTTTGTTTGTTGTTTATGCATAGTTTTTTTAAATATATATATATTTCACTTTTTTCCCGCCATGAGTATAGATGTGGTAGCTAGCATGGCTCTAAATTATAAACAATAAATAATTACTCTCAGATATTCTGTGTAGTCTAATCGGACCCAGTCAATCAGAAACAGGACGTAGCATTGTTATAATAAGGGAAGTGGCCTTTGACCGCTTGAGCCAGAGGTCAAAGACTTTATTTCCTTAAACAGTGTGCCGATATTCAGCTACAGATAATGTGACTTCAGAGAGAGTTTTATCATTCTGTTGCTGTCCTGATTTGATTCTAATTTTCATATTCACATTAATTTTATTTTTCTATCCCCAGAGCTTAAATACCTCTGAATGCACCCCACAGATGTTTGTGTTCTCTCTTAAGGTGAGTGTGAGTTTTCTTTAGAAAGGAGAGCTATGTTTTGATTTCAAGATCACTTTGCAGGACTATTAGAAACCCAAATATTAGTTGTAATATTATAGCATAACCACACACACATCAGGAGGGTGAGAAATGACTCTGTGTGTGCATTACAGAGTGCTTATGCCGTCCCAACAATGGCTTTCTCCTTCTTGTGCCATACGGCAGTTTTACCCATTTACTGTGAGTTACACAGGTTAGTTCACTGATTGCTGTTTTATCTGTGCATCTGCCACATATATAGTCTGTTATTGCCTTATTATATGTGTTTGTGTGTTTTTCAGACCCACAAAGCAGAGAATGCAGAGTGTGGCGAATGTCAGCATCTTTCTTAGTTTCGTGGTGTATCTGATCTCTGCCCTGTTTGGATACCTCACCTTCTATAGTAAGAACGTTGCTTAAGCTACACAGTCCCACAATGCAACACTTGACGTGACCTTCCATTTTTAGTGTCACAAGGAGTTGGAAGCAAAATGCTAAAACTAAAACTAAAAACATAAAGAAAATTTTCATTACTTGAAATAAAATAAACATTAACTGAAATAAAATATAAAAATAAAATAAACGGTGTACCAGCTCTAATGCCATGGCGAAAGTTTGAGCAAAACATGCTAACTGTTCTGTCTTTGGCTGCACAAACGAGCACAGAACACTATTTAGAGTCCCAGCCTCAGAGGAGACAACAGAGCAGTGGATTTATTGATTTATTTACTGTATATTGCTGCTGCCACACAGATCTAAAATAAACAAGCGATTTATTTCCCAGCTGTTTACCTTCACGGACATAACCGACTGTTTTTGTAACTCGTGTGTTTTTAACGTAAACTTGTGTGTGAATGAGAACTTAGTTTAGTACTCACATGCTGTGACAGCCGCTTTCTGTCTGTGTGCTTTGAATGTGTGCTCTCAGAAAACCATATCAGAAGTTTAAACTAATATGGTTTAAACTGCATGATTTCAGCACGATAAACATGATAATCAGAACCAAAACAGATGTTTTTAGCAGGTCCGAGTTGTAATGGTGCAGCTCTATTCTGGAAGAGGAGGCGGGGAGCAGCAGCTCATTTGCATTTAAAGAGACGGGCCCGAAAGACAGCATGTTTCTGCTTCCACTCAAAAGAGGCATTTTCAAAATGATATAATAAATGATCTGTGGGGTATTTTGAGCTGAAACTTCACAGACACATTCTGGGGACACCAGAGACTTATATTACATATTGTAAAAAGGGGCATAATATGTCTCCTTTAAGCGAGTTGCCAAAGCATTTACATTTTCATTTAGTTTAACTTGAGTGACAAGGAGATTTTTTTATTTAAAGATTTTTCAGTAAACTGTCTCTTTATCTCATCACATTCAATTCAGACTGCAAATTCACATTAAAAAAATTATCATTTTGCTGTGGTGCTGAAGATTAGGCACACTGCCACTGAAAAGTGGTGCAGGAAACTACTGTTTCAAAGTTTGTTGCATAATGTGTACTGCTTCACAAAGTGTCTTTTAAAATGTTTAGGGCAATTAGTGTATACTTATTAATATGCTAATAATCCAGTAAAGATAAATGGATTGATCTGATCAAACTTTCTTTATTCGCAGCACATGTGGAATCAGAGCTGTTGCTAGGATACGACACCTACCTACCACGGGATGTTGTGGTGATGTCAGTGCGTCTTGCGATTTTATTGGCCGTTCTGCTTACCGTGCCGCTCATTCACTTCCCAGTAAGTCAAACGCCAGACTGTGAACTATTTAAATAAGAAATTCAGAAAACACATCCCCTCTCTCTTTCTCTCAGGCACGTAAAGCGGTGTTGATGTTATGCAGGGGAGAGAGGGAGTTCTCCTGGCTCTCTCATTCACTTTCCTGTTTTTTCATCCTCACTTTTGTGCTGCTGCTCGCTATTTTCGTCCCAGACATTAGGAATGTCTTTGGTGTGGTGGGTGAGTGTGTGTCCATACGCTCTTTATGTGTTTTACTGTTAAGTTCAGTGCTAAACATGTTTATGTGTGTGTCTCTGCATACCTTTTCTTGTGTGATTCCAGGTTCTACGACCTCCACATGTTTGCTGTTTGTGTATCCTGGGATGTTTTATTTGAGAATCAGCTCTGAGCCAATGAGATCTCTCAATTCAGCAGGGGTATCTTACATATATTCATTAACACATACGTGACTTCCTTTGCAGGACAGCTGATTTTGAGAGACTTTCTTTACTTTTTTTTTATACACAACTGTTCAAAAGTGGGGTCAGTAAGATTTTTTTTAATGTTTTTGAAAGTCGCACCAAGGCTGCATTTATTTGATTAAAAAAAATACAGTGAAAACATATTGTGAAATATTATTACAATTTAAAATGACAGTTTTCTATTAGAAATATATTTTAAAAAGTAATTTATTCCTGTGATGGCAAAGCTGAATTTTCAGCAGCCATTGCTCCAATCTTCAGTGTCAAATGATCCATTCTAATATGCTGATTTAGTGCTCAAGTAACATTTCTAATTATTATCAATGTTTTAAAAAAAAAAACAGTTATGATGCTTAATATTTTTGTGGTAACCATGATACATTTTTTTCAGGTTTCTTTAATGAATACAAAGTTTAAAAGAATAGCATTTATTTTAAATCTTTTGTAAACGTTATAAATGTTTTTACTATAATTTATGATCAATTTAATGCATTCTTGTGGAATATAAATATTAATAAAAAAAAATGTACTGACCCCAAACCTTTGAACGGTAGTGTATGTCTGACTTGGAACTATGAATTACATGTTTTGTTTTTTTACACTTGATATGTTTATTATTTTATTGATATTATGTTGCTTTCTTTAGGTTTCTTTCCAAAGGCACCTGTTCCAAGTTTCTCTTTTCATTCTAGGCTGTTTTGCTGATGGTGATTGGTCTGGTTGTTGGTGTGTTGAGCCTGTGTGTCATCATTGTCTCCTGGGCTCAAGGACCTTGACCTTTGACGTCATCATTGTGGGACATATTGCATGAGTTGTGAGCTCAACACATCCTGCCTCAAGGAGAAACCTTATTTTACAGGTTACACACCTTGCAGAGGCTGTTTTCGGAACCAAAAGAAGGGAATCCCAATGAGATGAGCCAGCTGTGCTCTTATGACACTTCTAATGTACTCTAGCACTTTTATGACACTTGAATACTGAACACAGGCACAATCAAATTCAAAAATCCAGCAGAGCACTGAAATGCATATTAATCTATACTGAATGTCTGAACGACAGTAGAGTTTGACAATCTTTGAATCAGATGGTTGCTGTCATCCATAGAAAGACAGCTGGGACCAGTAAATGAAGGAACTGCACTGCTGATTTTACAGCTGAATGTGGGATATTAGATTTACACCGATGCTTAATGAATTGGAAAATCTGCTTGTCTGACTCAAAAAAAAAAAAAAGCTCTGGTTTAATGATTAACCACTGTCTTTAGAATTCAAAAGCTTGGATTTGTTTTTTAAAGATTTTTCTGAACTTTCAGGATATTTCTTGGATGTACACTAATCCCAAAGTTTTTCTGTTGATTCAATTTAGAATTCAAAATTTCCTCCCATTTTCTATTTTAAATAAAGAAAAATAAATAAATAAACAGAAAATATACAGAACAGTAATTTTTTTTTTTACCGTTGCAACCCTGTTTACATGTCCAAAAGGACAATTTTGGTGTGTTTTTATGTGGATTTCGATAAATAAAGGGAAATAAGAATTAAAACTGGTTTCTCACTGACTCGTGTACTATGGCATCTGGAGTGGAGTCTGTGATCCATGTTTAGTCAGAGATCTAAGCATTAGTGTGAGTTTTTGCTGGTTTGTACGTGAGAAAGATTGATAGACAGGCTGATTTTTCTTCATTGATTTGGACAGAGGGTTCTCTGTATGTCAGATAATGGAAAACAAATGCTCTCTCTCTATGTGTGTGTATGTGTGTGTGTGTGTGTGTGTAGGCTCTGGCCCTTGCTCTCTCCTGCTGTTTCTAATATGCTGCATTAGCTTGAGAGACCGCCCAATGTAAGGCAGTCTGTAACACAGACACACACAAACACACATGGACAACCTTATACGTACTGAGTGAAATCTGGTAGTTCTGTTATTCTTGAGGTGTGTGATTAAAGCAACATTCAATTTGTGACACAGGATGACAGTAAGATTTCAGACAAATTCACTGCATATAATCCGAATCATCAGAATCAGCTTTATTCGCCAAGTGTGCGCAAACACACGAGGAATTTTTTGCTTTTTTAATAAGCTCTTGGTACATGCATACATACATATCTGACATGAGAACAGAAACATTTAAATAAGACTTAACAATAAATAATAATGTATATGAATCTGGAACAGAAGATTTATGTACAGATTTGTGCATTTATTTACTCTATATATACAGCTGTATAGAAAATATGCATATGTATTACATAGTACTTGAGAGAGAGGCAGTAATTAGAAATGGAATAAGATAAGAGGTCAGTGATAAGACAAAAAAAACTGCTTTGTGTTACATGGTTAACTTGCGTGAACACCAATAACATGATGAAACCATGGATATCAAACCAATTTAGTGGATATGAGTTTTTTTTTTTTTTATAGTAGTGCAGCGGATTGGTGTTCAGGTGAAGCTCACAAAATCGTCATGTTTCACCAAAAAAAAACGTTTATTTTTATTTTTAAATAATTTGTATTATTCTTTTTGTAATTAGATGTTCATTACTGTAATACAGTATTTATTTTTTATAGTATTACAGCAAAAAATATTGCTGATTTTTAAATAAAATAAATACAACAAATATAATGGATAAATACAATTTAAATGATATATCATTGTATTATTAAATACATTTCGTTTTTTTTTTTTTTTTTAAATATATAACAGTTTTTGTGAGATCCATCCATTCACTTAAAATGTCAGGCTTTGCAAGTCAAATGCATGAGTAAGAGAAGACATTTTAGTAAACGGGTATGAAGAAAAAGCCTTTAAAATAACATTTCATGCTAGGTTTAAATGAGTGGAAAATGAGATCCACTGCTCTTGGGTATCAGGCAAGAGTTATGTCTCTTTTCAGCTTTAATTCAGCCCTGCAGTGATTGCTTTACCATTAGACCACAGTCCATATTCACACACACCAACAGAAACATCTGCTGACTGTTAACTGCTGCCTACAGAACGTGATTTTGCTGTATGTCTATCTGATTTCTTTCATGCCAATTGGCCCTTTCATTCTGACATCTGCTTTTTTCCCTGGACTTCTTTTTTTCTGCATCTCTGTTCTTCTCCTTCCTCCTGAATTGATTTTCATGCTCTATCAGTAACCGTGCTCCCTGTGTCACAGACATTCAGTAAATCATTCTGAGGACTTTGTTAGGAAGAAAGAAACACACATCCAATCACGCACACTACCTCAGCTCTATAGTGACATTTGATTGTTTTCTCCTCTTTGTCGTTCTCTCTGCCCTCTAAAACCTCTAATTCTCCTCTGACGCCTGGTCTGAGCTGAGACCACATCACATCTGGAGTTCATTTTACCCAAACACACACACTTACCCTGCCCTGTGTCACACACTTTCTCCTCTGCTTTAAAACTGTTCTGTCCTCTATGCTCACTCTCCCTGTCACTCTTTTTAAACTCCTTTTTCCAAACACTCACTCCATCATTCACTCTATTTCTTGCTCTGATTTTTGTTTTTCTTCTTTAACGCCCTCCTGCTGCAGCTGTTGCCATTCCCAAACACTGAGTAATAATGCCAGCCAGAAAACGTGCACTCACACACACTTTAGCCTTTCACCCATAAATACCTCACCCACATTTCTACGAGTCACACAGTCTGACATGGAATAGCAGCAGTTCAATAAGTGAGTAACGGTGTGTGTGTGTAAATCAGAGGTTTGGAAACAATTTTAAACTGTATATGGTAGCTGAATGGGACCTGCCGGGTTTGTGCATGTGTATTTGTGTTTAGTCAGGTATAGTTTATTTCTATAACAGCTTCAGTGAATGAGTAAGCATGCATGGCTATGGAATGGGGAGACTGGGGCTAGTTGTCACATTGGGATGCAGTTACATCTCAGTAACTATGAGGTTTTGCACGAAAAGTTAAAGACTTTAACTATGTTCTCTGGATAAGAATGGGAAAGCTGTTCGTGTTTTACATTTATGTCTTTTAAATGAAATAATTTTATGCAGTTTATTTTATTATTTTACTTTATATACTTTAAGGTATGCGTGTACAAAGAAATTATTTATAATATTATGTTACATATAATATAATATAATATAATATTGCAAGGATTAAATTGATCAAAAGTGACAGTAAAGTCATTTATAATGTTACCAGGCATAAAAAACACCAGAGGCCCACTATACACACACATATCCTGAAATGCACATTTGCTGTGTTCTGAACACAAACTCACACACTGGATAGTTCAGAGTGCATGAACTGCCTGATTTCAATAAAGCTGCTGTGACAACTCTCACAGCAGTTTAAACTCTCCCACACTGTGCTCCAGATAAAAAGGGCAGTTCTTTAATGAATAACCATAAAGAGAGTTAAAGTTGATTTGGTGCTGAATGCATGTTTTAATACTGTTTCACCACACAAAACTCTAGAGAGAGAGAGAGAGAGGGAGATGCTAAGATACAAGGGCATAACAGCTAGAACAAACTTATGGTAACACTACAAAGCTGTCCATAAAGAAACTGAACATGTATGTTTGAAAAATACAAGTATGCCTGATGGTTGAATAAGTTGCAGTGAGTATGAGTGCCTCCTGCTGGCTAAGTCTTGTGCTACACCAGAATCACTAGAGTGGATCCACCAAAGCTCAGCATCCCATCGAAAGCTTCATCACCAAAGGTCTAATATTCACCACGCCACCATAAGACCACTGACACCGAACAGAGCAGAGAGTGTTTGGAGTCTCCCCTTTGAATTTACACCAGCTGGAAAAGCGATAGAGAGAGGTCAAAGGTCACATTTGACACAGTGGGCCTTTCATCCTGAGACTTTATAGATCTGGGGCAACTCAATCAGAGCCCACACACAAACAACCTATTTTGTTTATAGATAGGCTAGGCCTATATCAATTATTTTAAGCATTTAAGCCTTCAGAACAAAAGTTTTCAAAATCTTGGGAAACATACTATAAATGCGATCAAGAGTGTCCAAATTTCTACTGTTAAATACATATATATCTTGTAGAAATGTAATACTAATAATGAATTTGCAATAAATATTCTGTTTATGTATTTATTTATTTGTTTGTTTGCAGATTTAATTATCTAGGCATTAATAAAAATCTGATGATGTCCATCATTTATTTAATGTACAATTTATTGTACATGAATGTATATTTATTTAATGTACATGTACATTTAGTCATTTAGCAGATGCTTTTATCCAAAGCGACTTACAAATGAAGGCAACACAAGCAATCAAAACCAACAAAAGAGCAATAAAATGTAAGTGCTGTGACAAGTCTCGGTAAGTCTAATGCAGTACACGTTTTTTAAATAATAAATAAAAACAAGTAGATAGAATAGAAAAAGAATAGAAAACATTATATTTTATATCTGTTCATTTGTTTATTTACAATATCTTCAAATGATATTTGCACATCATTTAATACTTAACGAGTGCTGTTGAAAAAGTCTGCCGAAAGGTGGCGGTGTTTCCATTTGCTCGCGATAAAACAGGTGTGTTTTCAGTTTTCAACGGAATTCCACAAGCAGGTAATTCAGAGATGGTCCACGTGTGGCTTTGTTTAAAGAAAAAATATCTGGACAGTTTCCTCATCGCCCTATCGCTCAGTTTGACTGAAATAGACCTCTCAGAAGTTTTTCATACAAAGGTTTGTCTGACACGCGTCTAAGTCCAAAATGCAGCGAATATGGACGGACTGTGAAAGTGTCGAGGAAAACTTTGCAAAGGCGACCTCGTAATAAGTCGCCTTACGGATAAGATTTAAAGATAGAGCCAGAGAGAAACATTTAATGTTGTGACTGACTCCCTTGAGGGAGACGCGTAGTCAGGCGTGAACTCCTTCACTTCCCCATTCTGCCCACTCGCTTCAGTCCTTCCGCAAAGCAGGTGTTTCAAACAGCGCTTTGTTTCAGATGCAGAGGCTTCTAACTGGTGTGCGTTTGTGCATTTACACTTTCCCATTTAAGTGATATAATGTCCAACATTCACTAAGTCAGTTAGGCTTAGATTTGCTAGGCTCGAGTTTAGAGGACACCATGAAGTTTAACGGGTATCTGAAGTTGCGCATCGGCGAAGCGGTGGACCTGAAGCCCACGACCACCTCTATGCGACATGCCGTGATGTTCAGCAAGGCGAACCAGACCCTGGACCCGTACATCGTAGTGAAAGTGGACGAGTATAAGATCGGACAGACGCACACCAAGCAGAAAACCAACATGCCCACTTACAACGAGGAGTTCTCCGTTAACGTCAACAACGGCAAGCAGGTAGAGCTAGCCATTTTTCATGACGCACCGATCGGGTACGATGACTTCGTGGCCAACTGCACCATCCAGTTTGATGATCTGATGAAGAGCACAAACAGAGAGGAGTCTTTTGAAGGATGGGTGAGGAATGTTTATTATATAGCT